TCTGCTTCGGTTGAATGGAAAATGAGAAAAACTCCCCCTTCTAACTTTGTGTTTCATGACATAAACTCTAAACAAGACACAAAAATTACAAAGTCCATTTTCCACCTTTCATGATACAGAATTTCAACATAGTACTCAAATCAGGATTTCATTGAAGAAATCAAAAGTAGCATATATAGAGAATTGTAGCTTAGCAGGAGTAGAAGTTCTTTCGTTTGCTAAATTTTTTTAAAAAAAGAATGGATTTTTTTATTGAGTCTTGTTCACTAAAATAAGGGCAAGATGGGCTCTACTTCTAGTCAATACATGCAATTTGCATTCCATTTGAAGAAACATTTACTTTTAGTCCTATGCTCAACTTAGTATGGAGTAGTATAGTAGGAAAATGATTGGGAGTGATGTTAGAAATATAGAGAGAGTCTACCAAAGCAACAAAGAAACGAGCCACGACACTTGAGGACTTGATTGCTTGAGATTGCATCCAAGTTTTTCTTATAGCCATACGTTCTGCAAAGTGATTGGTGGCAGATAGAATTCCAATGAAAAGTTGAATAGGTTTTTTCAAGGGAAAAGGAAGAGACTTCCATTTCTCAGAGTAGTCCAATACCCTTTGCGGTGAAAAGCTTGGATGAGATGTGGGAAGAGATGTTGCATAAACTGAGTGAACATCAACATCACCAGCAATTGCCAATCCTGTAGCATCTTCTAATGAGAACCCCTGAAGAAATACAAAAGCTCTTATTTTTAATTAATAGATAATTGGGATCTCTAGATAATTTAACTTTAGCTAGAAAAAAGATGTAATCAGTTGCACTATGACGTCCAAAAAGTCATAGCTATCAAATCTATGTTGAGAAAGAGAAAGAAAAGGTTTCAAATGGAACAAAACAAGTCAAGATATACGTTCAAAAAAGCAAAGATGTTGTTTTTTAAATGATACTCCCTATATCCCATATTTATCTCCTAAAGGACAACCGGCACAGGGATTAAGATAGTGAGTTTTGTGTGGTGGAGAGTTGTGCAGAGGAGAGATAAATGCATAAGAATGTGTAAGAAATGTCACCACGGAATTGGAAACTCCAAATTCAACAGATCGATTTGCCATAAATCAAAGTTTGTCACCACGGAAAACTGCTTGCCAACTGAAAACTTGAATACGCAGATCAAAATTTATAGAAAAGCTCAAAAGAATAAAAGGCAGCATAGCATGAGAACAAGGTCTCAATCCAGAGACTTCCCGTGGGACTAGTTATTTTTCCGATGTTTCCTCTGTTTTTCCTTTTGTACTATTTTTCTTTCCTTTTCACTTTGTACTGTTTTCCCTTTTATCAATAAAAAAAGATCTTTCTCTCTAAAAAAAGAATGTGTAAGAAATGTTATGAAACATAAATTCTTTGCCAAAAAAGGAAAGAGGAGATCGTTTTGGGACGGTCAAAAAAGGAAAATTTGAAGATAAATATGGGACGGAAGTCGGGAGTAAAACATTATACTTTTCCTTTAACATTTATAAAATCTGAAAAGAAAAAAATAAGATAACTCACTGAAATTGTCGAAATATTGGGAGTCCATTTTCTTTCCTCATTGAATTAATATAGTAGGCAGTTTCAATCCCTTTTCCGCAAACTTACAATCTTTCCACACTTGTGAAAAAATAACTATACCACCACAATAAATAATACAATGATCTCATCATAATGGAGTAATCAAACATACCACCCTGTATGAAAAAGAAGTCACATGTCGACCACCAACAGTTATATGGAATCCATCAATACCAGCACGAACAGTCATAATAAACATCTTTCCCTCCACAAATGGAAAAGGCCATGTCACCTCTGGTTTCTTTGCACGCCCTATGAATCGCTGAAACCATGAAAATATTTTGGACTCTTTCACGTCAACTATATCGCTTCGCATCCACTTTTCACATCTCAGAAATCCATCAACTACAAAAACAGAGATCATGTTTAGTTACATATTTTAAATAAAAGAAACGGTGCATGTAGAGATATATAGATTTGTTGATAAGGTTCAGAGACTTGAAGAAATGCCATATAAAAAGAATAAATGGTTGTCTATTGTAAAACATAGACTAGCACAAAGGTCTCCATTCTGAAAACACATCAATAATATTTAGAAGAAACATAATTGGAATGTATTGTGTATGATATCAACACTGATTTAGAACAAAGACAACGTGGACTTCTCAAAATCTCCAATAAAACCAAACAAGTTTGCACTAGTGCATGTATAGTAACTATTAAGTGACAATGCATCTGAATAAAAGCAAAAATGCTCTGGCATTATATCAACATGTCATCAAACAAAGTTTTTTCAAACACATTTTAATATAAATATTATGTCAAATGAAAAATAGTTTAGATCCTTAATTAATATGTTGATCCAAGTTCAATGTGTTTTTTACTCCAGGGGGCGTCTAGGGGAGGGGGGGTGGGGGGCCTGGAGTAATGTAGGCTGAAACTCACTCTATTGAGTTCCGAACCCGAGACCCGTAAGGGAGAGTGAGTCTCCAAGTTCAATGTTATCTACATAGAAAAGTTTCTTTTCCCTATCTAATAAGTATACAGGTCCCAAAAGAATATTAATGTCTAGGTTCCTTCAACTTCATGGCATTCTAATCTCAATCTTTTCAAAGTATTCCCTCTATAATAAAAATAGAATAAAAAGAACAATAAGTGTCTTGTTGGGTAGTACTGATTTCAGTAGGAAAAACAAGACTCTTTTGGTTGTTCATTTTTGGGAACGATTTGAAATAAGGATTACAATTTTTTTTCCTACAGCAATTTAAGGGTATGTTTGCATCTAGCAAAATGCCAGTGGAGGGAAAATCTCAAGCATAATTACTTTTTTATGTTTAGCTTTATTTTGAAAAATTAAAAAAGAAGTGAAATACTACGTATGATTAGTTTTATTAGGTACTTTATATATTATTTTCCTAATTCCATCCAATTGTACTCCTTGTTATCATTAAGTTCTTTCCCAAGTACTTTTCGGGACCCAAAATGGCACAAGGGTTCACAATATCATGTTACTTTAAGATAGTGATGGAATAGATTCATTAATGAGGAACTCTTACCAAGCATGTCCTCATCACTTTTGGAAGGAATACCATCACACCTTTGAGATGTCCCCCATTGCATCCTATAACAGGTGTTATGCTCAATCACCGGTCGACGACTCCAATCTCCTCTTACCCGGGGATTTAAATGCAGAATTTTTGGTGGGTCCTCCCCAACCACTGCTTTTAATCCTTGTAACTCAAATGAAAAATGGGATATTGAAACCATTCCATCACCTTTTGTTGTCTTGGCAAGTTGGGGCACATATTCACGATGAGCATAGTGTGGGATACCAATCACGGTGATTGAGGAACCAGCAGAAAGACCACAAGGGAGGAGCATAATGCGGTCTGCTTTAGCCAATTCTTCTCCTGTCATGGTAACAAATGAAGGACATGACTCAGGCTTCCCCTCAAATATTGAATTCTTTATCTCAGGATCCTTCTCATCGTAATTATTTGCTTCATCCCATGCCTTCAAGCCTAATGTCCAAGCTTCAATTGCCGCTCTTTCTAACACAGAAGGGTTGATAGTCATATTCAATGGTTTTAAAACACTAGAAGTCATTTGATCATATCCAAGCCTGTAAGATGGATTTTTTCCATGGTTGCGTTGTATATGATGTAATCCATCGGCATGTGTGGACCCCACATTCGTTTTACTAAGCTCTCCATCATCATTACTTGTATCTGTGAACTCATCCACTCCAAGAACACTCTCATCACCTCCCAAAGCTGTGGCACTCTCATAAAACTCCGGAAACTTCACGCAAATAAGAATCAAGTATAATGCACCTAAAGCTAAGAAAATATATGAAAGCTTGATCCTCCTTCCAGTTTGAGGCTCAATTTTTGACCTCTTATTCATCTTGAAACAACAAAAATAGTACACTAGAACTCATAGAGAATGCCAAAAGCATTTCCAGTCCATTTATTTCACACGCTTTGAAGACAACATTAGGAACTCAATCCCCACATGTAAGAGGGACCATAGAGATGAACTTCCAAATTAAACATCTCATAAATTCAAAAAAAATGCATTTCAACACAAAAACCTTAAAGCATGCCAAGAAACCGAAATCCGGCCATCAAAATCTGGAATCAAAAACAAAATTTAATAAAATATTGGTTGTTTACCACAACATAATGATCAAGTAATATATTATTATAAGAAATTAAATAAATAGACCTGCATTGCATTGTACATTCTCACAAACGTCCACCATTGTAAGGAAATGCATTAAACCGGTGCCTTGGAGATTGAAAGGAAAACAAACATATGGAAGGAACAATGTGGGGGATGCCTTGACATGGGTTTTCTGAATAATGAAGAAAAATGGAGAGAAGTGTGCATGCGGGTTGGTATTTTATGTTCCTGAAACCATTGATTTAACCCCGGGAAATGAGAGGAGTTCTCCCTATGATAGTCTTGTAAACTTTTCTTTGTTGAAAGGCTCTCCTTTTTTGTGGCCATTTTCTTTTTTGGACACTTTTGTTTTATTTGTACTCATTTTGTTTAGAAAAATGGAAAATTAATTCGTGCTCAAAAATCAAATTTCATATATTCATAATATAAAAAAGCCACATTGAAAAATCTTCGAACAATTTAGGAAATAGTAATATTATAAAAATAGTAAAAGTGTGTACCGTTGTCATTAATTTATAACAATCAAAATATAAAAAATAGCCTCATTGAAAAATCTTTGAACAATTTAGGAAATATTCCTATTATAAATATAGTAAAAGTGTATGTTGTTGTCATTTATAGCAATCAATGCTAGTAATAATATCTTTATAATGTATACAGGGTCCGATTTCAATAAAGAATGATCATCCCATGAGAAATGAGAACATCTTCACTTTTGATCATCTGAAGAGCACTATTACACTTACATGATTTTCGTCATCTACATTTGGTCATCTACGGTACACTTTTTCACACACGAAATCTACTTTCTCAAAAAAGGAAAACTTTGATTTATTTACAAAAATGTCACGCCTTTTTAATCCATTTTCAAGTATTTTTGGCATATTTAGACCATTATATCTTAGACTTGATGCACCAGATTTATTCATACTTTTCATGGGAATGAAAGAAACTTTTTATATATTTAATCCAAAATTTGTATGCATAAATAAAGATCGTATAATTGAAATAAAATGTATAATATTCTCTCCCACAAAATGACATTATTGGAAGCATTTAGTGATTAATGTGTACAAATAGTAATTAAAACTTAGCATAAGAACTAAGTGATAGGTGTTGATACTTTTAAGTTTATTTGAAAAAACTATAGTTTTGAACTACACTTTTAATAATTGCAAAACTAGCGCGATTGTTTTTATTGTCAAAACGGATGAGTTAAATTACTATCATAGCATTCAGATAGCGGGTAAAACGACAAAAGCACCACAAACAACCACCAGCCTCAAACCAGACTTCCCATCACTCGTTGATCATATAATGGGCATAAATGAGCCAACGTCGGTTAAAGCAGACCTCCCATCACTCAATCCTAATGCAGGAGTCTTACAAAAATAAAAGTAACTAGCAGAAAAATAAACAGATTGACCATGAAAAATAAAAAGCAAACAACCAATAAAATTAAAAAATTGTTTCCAAACCCTAAACTCTAGCACTCCATGGCGGCGATTCAGGAGGGGACGGTCCAACAGTACTGTAGCTTCTTCCTCTCCTTGCCTCCGGTCCAGATCTGTTTCAGCCCCTAGCCCCACGCTTCGTTCATGACCTTCTAATCTCAACCATGAACGACATCTTCGAAACTCTGCACCTGCTACGTACACAATTTTTGACCGCCATATAGCCGTTGCGGTCTATCGAAGAAGAGAGTCTCACAAAAGGCGGACAAAAGCCGCATAAGAAAATCGATGTTCGTCGAAAACGAAAGCGAAGAAAACCAACCCCTAAACCCAGGGGAGATGGCCACCTAGAGAGAAGCTCTCTTAGCATCACTGCTCCTCGATGATGTCAATAGCGGACAAAGGAAAATGGGTGATTTTAAACTAGCGATAGAAACCCTAGAAAGAGGGGAATGATAGATATTTTAAACTAGCGTGATTTTAAAAACACTAAATAAACAAGGAAAATGGGTTTAATATCACTAAATAAGATTGTGCTTTTATAAAATGATGCTCCTAAATTTTATGTTTATTGCATCAACCTAATAGCCGAACACAAATTGATATGATAAATATCGTATCTAAAGATTGAAGGGGATGAAGACAAAAAAATAAGACATAAATCTTTGATTTGGCTCGGAATTATCAGTCAAATTCTTACAATACACTCAAATCTAACCCAAATTTATTATACAACTACTCTACTAGCTAATCGTTCACTAATACAAACTACAATGGAGAAGAAACAAATGCTCTCTAGCGATTGTAAACACCTACACCCTCAATGGAATTACAAGTGGTATTTATAGTGGGAGACTGGGAGGTAATCACCGAGTAGTAATCTACACTTTGTTAACATAATCATCTAGATTCCTTCAAAAAAACACAATCATCTAGACGATTAATTATGTAAGGCAATCAAAGACAAACAAATTAAAATACAATAAAGAAAAAAATGCAGAAAACAATGACACACAAGAAATGAATTGAACTCCAATATTAAAAAGCAATGAAATTAATTTGAATATGATAAAAAGATTAAGGAGTTCCTTTTGAACTTGATGGCTTAGTCACACCTCACATCTCTGGCAACATTATTCATTGATAGATACCTCCAGTTAACCAGCACAAATTACCGAAAGAGATAAGAATTCAAACAGAATTTTATTAGAGAAGATGAACAGTACACAATCCAAGGCCGAAGCCCCCAAAGAAGGAGATAAACTCGATCTTCCCAGTCCCAAGACTAATCGTCTAAAAGCCTACCTTATGCCTTCCTTCCCCTTTCTATTTATAGTATAAGCCCTCTTATTATTCTCTATAATAATAGGCCCAAAATAACAGGCCCACTAAACAGTGTCTATTCTTCTAGTATTCCTATTAGAATTATTATCTATTATTAATCTAATAGGTAGATCCCTATCATTCATCACCTTAAATATAAACAGAGAATTCCAAAATAAGAGAAAAATCCTTACATATAAGTATATAACTAAAACATAACCAAAGTTGACAAATAGGATCATCATGGTCTTATTCCTTAAATAAGACTCGCTTACTCCTCATTGAGAAATTTTATATAGAGTACTATTAATACGACCAAATAAGTCATATTTGGGTAATTAAACATAAGTACTCCTTCATATGCATTTGTCTATGTTTAATTTAGACCAATTTGGAGGAATTTCTTTGAAGAGAATCCCCTGAATGAGTTCTAGAATGGCTTATCCGATATGATTCTTGCTTGTTATTACAAGAATTAACTGTTGATTTTGAGCAAAAATTCAAACAAATTGTCTGATATCACTCCCTTCTTTCACCTTCCATAGGATAGGTATAAAATGGGAAGTCTAATGGAGCAAATGTTGTACCAATATAATTTCAACCTGATGATTCTTGGGCAGGTGAGCCAGTCAAGATTTTTGAAGATTGCTGAGACTATAAAGATGATACCTTCCAAAAAAATAAAGATGATAATTAACATCAACAAAAAGTGGAGCATAACCAGCATACCAACTGGTGCATCAATCTTTAATCAGTTTGATGAAAATTTGCACGCAGGCCTGGTGTGGATCAAGGAAGTTGCCAACATTAAAGCTTCCATCAACTAATCAGTGCAACCAATATTGAGAAAACAGTCAGTCCACTCCATATTCTTGTAGATTACAGCAACAATGCCACAGAATCTGCATCATTGTATCCAGGTAGATTATATTAGTAGAATCAGTTTTTGGCAGATAGAAAAACTGATGAAATACCAATCTTGAAGCCTTATAATACAACTTTCAACTGTCCTCAATCTCAATGGAGGAAAAATTATGCAGCTTTACAGTAGAGGAGTTATAAGAGGTGATATCCAGTCTCCTGCTGCCTTATCAATTCATGGAACTTCTCATTACTGGACTTGAGCATCAGCCCCAAAGGAATCTGAATTCCCCTCTCCACAATCTCCATGTGCCTCTTCTTAATCCTCTTCTCCAAGCTGAAAGAGAAGTACTGAGGAAACTCCTTCAACTCCTCCAACTCACCCATCATCTCATTAACAAAGTAGTCAAATTTGGGCTTATAGTTGTTCTCAATGCTGAAAGTCAGCAGCCCAGGGCACCTCAGCACCATCCCCTCCGCATCACTTCTTGAAAAGCCCAAACTGACCAAATAGTTGAGCTTAGGGATGAGAGTGTTCTCCACACTGGAAACCAAGAGGATGGGGTCTTGAGTAGCCAAAGCACGGAAATCTTTAAACCCTAGTTTCTTGAGGAAGAAAAGAGCTGGCTTTAGCCGGTCACTCACGCTCGCACTGAGCAATCTTGGACACTTGTTGATCACTTTCCTGAATTCTCTTTCTGGGACTTGCAGGTCATGGGAGAGGAAGTCAAATACTGGGGCGAGGTCAGATTTGATGTCTGAAGTTAGGAGCTTGGGGCACATCCCGAAGATTTTTCTGAAGTCCTTTTGGTGGATGCCTTTGGACTGCAAGAAAGTGAGGATGCAATGGAGGGAGTAGAGTGAAGCTGTGTGGAGGGAAGGGTTTTGGGAGAGGGCTTTACCAGAGTCAATGCCCATGACTTCTAGGCACAAGATCTTCTCTTTGAATTCGAGGGAGATGTTGCTGTGAATGGGTTGGTAGAGTGGGTTTTCATGGAGCAGAGTTTTGGGTTTTGATGCAATTGATAGGTGGTTGGGTAGCTGCTGCTCTGATGAGCTAGAAGAAGAGAATGAGGAGGAAGGTTTCTGGGCTGAGAAGCACATGGTGGCGGTGGGATTGAACACCGCGGCGGCGAATGGCGGTGACATTTTGGGTTCATAGATGGAGTGGATAGCAATGGAACGAGTCTTTTCTTACCACATGTATTTTCTTTCATTTAACTGTCTGATATGACAATGACACTTGGCATCTAGGTTGCTAGGCGTAACTCAAAGATGAATTTGGGGATTAGATGAGACCGTGAAAGTGAGAGTACTCTCACGTAATAGACAGCTTCTTATTTGGTCATTTAAACTTCTCATTCTATCACATATAAGAGCATCATCAACGCTTAGATGTTAGTCTTACAAAACTATGCCAAATGGCTAATAAATAATAGGCTTTCTAATACACATAAGTGGAAGTGTAATGATCTGATATTAAACTACAAAAAATGTCTCCAATGCATACCATCTCAATTCTCACCGGTCCAATTTTAATGTCTACCTGAAACTAAATTATACGAAGTATTACTCCGTATGACCGTATATGCTTACCAGCAACCATTTACTCCGTATTCAAAAAGAAGCTTCATATCTCTTCACCAATTTCAAATTTGTAGAACATCAATTCAGCAAAGCTCTTCATCTTAATATTCTTCAACAACACAAATGATCAATTCATCTTAATGTATTAAAAATACTCAATATTCATACTCCATCCGTCCCCGAAAGAAGTTCACACTTTCCTTATTTCGATGTCCCTAATTTAAGTTCTCATTTCCTTAAATGGAAAGTTATCTACATCAAAACAGTGTCAAACAGTGTCAAAAAGTCCCAAATATTGTCCAAACAGTGTCAAAACAGTAAAATTTACCCCCTGGTAAGTTTACTTGCATAAAAGTGTGTGAAAATAAAATGGGGAACTTCTTTCGGGGACGGAGAGAGTATTTATTTAGATTCATCAAAACAATCCAAACCAATAACGACAAATTCTCCACTCACTTGTCAAAACAAGTAAAAATTATTTGTCCTCATGTGGGAGCAACTACAAAGTAGAGGATGACTAACAATAAAATTACAGAGTATGAATGGCTTGATTTTTACCAGAAATTAAAGGGAAAAAATAAATTTGACATGTCAAAATAGGCTTCTTCGAGAATTTGAGAAAACCAGACTTTGTCCCTGATTTGAGAGAACCAAACTTCTATAATTTGAAGTTTTTGAGAAGAGAATGATTTTCTGGAATTTTTTGGTTTCCCCTAACTTTACGATTTGGGGCATGTGGGCAGTTCAGCAAAGAGAGTTGGACGGCTAGTATTTTGGTGAGCGAAGCCTATTTTTTATCTAGTCAGCCAGTTTGGGTGGCTTTCTACACTCGAACGTTAACCTCGACAGTGTTTAGGATTTTTTGCCATGTCAGCAGAAGACTATACGCATTGGAATTGCTAATTTTCAAAGGCTGTCTAATTTTAATGAGGTGGCGCACTAAACCTACACTAGACAGCCTGCGTTGGGGTTACTCTAATAAACAGTTTGTCATCTCAGTGTCATTAAATTTATATAGAAAAATGTCTTAGCTCATTCAGGAGTTATTGTGAAAAAAGGTAAACAACCCCTAAATATGTGATTGGGGAGCAAAAACTTGGAATAAAATTAAGGTGTCCGATCCATTCTTAAGCCTTCACAGTCACAAACGACTCTCATCCTTTTGTTGTGAGAGTGAGAAAGTGAGAATGATTCGCTCCAAAGTGAATATTTTGATGCCTCAATCTCGATTGATTAATAGTTCTGTTTAGTTTTTAGTTCATTCAATTAAAGATCAGAACAATCATTCAAGAGAAGATCACAAATACATAAAGGTGAAATATTAAATAAAAAATGGTCAGAGAATAACTTGCTTAGTTAAAAAAACTTTTATTACTGATTTTAGGACAATACTATTAAATAACAATATTGATAAAGACGTCTTTTATCATTGTAACTACAATGGCATTAGTATTTTGTATTTTATTTCCATTAATATCTCTACTAAGCTAGTGCTACGTACTTGTTAAGTAATTGAGGAATATAAGGTACTACACTTAAAATGTAGTTAAAAAAACATCGAAAAATAGCTAGCGGTTTTTTCATTTTGAGTTTTCAAGCAACCAATTCACATGTGTCCAAAAATACCTTGCTTACTAAACACCCCGTTCTAAATAGGCATAGACTGGGCAGGGATTTGGGTAGGACTAGGTTTGGGAATTCAAGGCCCGGTACCGGCCCTGGTTGGGTCCAGATTTAAAAAAAAAGAATTGGTTTTTCTTATTTATACCACCCCACGTCCCCACACCCAAACCACCCAGCACAACCCGCCTTGGGATGGCCTCGGTTCAGGCCGCCCGGCCCGCTACTGTGCGGGACCGGACCGGCCCGGTTTTCCGGTTCTGGGTCCGGTTCGGACCTAGGCCCAGGGGCCTGGGCGGTTCCGGGCTCGGTTACAGTTTTTGGCAAACCGGCCCGGCCGAGTCGGGCCCGGGTCCGGGCCAAAAACTGTTTTTTTTTTTATTTTTTTTTATTTTTTTGGGCTTTATTGAATTGGGCTTGATGTTTAGGACCGGGTTGGGGGTTGGGGGGGGGGGGGGGGGGGGGGGGGAAGAAAAGGAAAAAAAAAACAACTAACCGGGTGGCCCGGTCCGGTCTAGAACCGGTGGCCACCGGTCCGGCCCAGAACCGGTGGCCACCGGTTCAGGCTCGGGCCCAACAAAACAGATCCGAGGCCCGGTCGGGGCTAGGCCCGAACCGGCCCGAGTCCATCCCTAAACCCGCCTAGCACCCAATCCATTCGAAAAAATCAAAAGAAAAAAACAATTTGGACCCAGACCGGCGGGGCCGGTCCACCAAATACCAATCCCGTAGCCCGCCACAACCCCCCCCCCCCCCCCCCCCCCCCCCCCGATTCGGGCCTCAAGGCCAGGTCTTGGTCAGCCGGGCCACTAACGCACAGTAGCGGTCCGGGACGTCCAAACCGGCCTAGTTATGAATCTGAAATTCAATCACTACAACAAACATGCACATTCATAGTTGGATTTCTCGACTAATAATTTCTAGGGTTAGGATTATTTTTAGCCAGTACCCAATAGCCAGTAATGAGGAATGATCCTGTCAATCCGGAGGGATGGAATCTTCCGTCCGGTCGCCGCCGTTTTGGGCAGTTCCCGGTGGAGTTTTTTGATGAAATTTTTATGGAATGTTCCTCATCAAGTCTAGTTTATCCACACAAAAATTCAGCTAAAAATTCGATTGGGAAGACAGTCAATTAATTTTTTGAAGATACCTGCGCCAAATTAAACATATAAAACGCAGTTATGTTTCAAAAAAACTCCACCGTAAACCACCCTAAACGGCGGCAGCCGGACAGAGGATCCTGTCCCTCCGGCTGGACATGATCTCTTCCGAGCCAGTAATATCTAAAACTATTTTCCTCCTGCAAAAAAGAATGATGCCACGTATTCTATTACAAATATGTTTCACAGAGAATGTTGCATATTACTATATATTATGGAATGTCATTGTGAGAACACTTCTTCCTTTGAATATAATACTTCGTATAATACAACATATTTCATAATTAGGCAGCTGCATCTATTAACCCGGGAAATAAAAACGCTCCTTCCCCAGCATGTTCTAAATGAGTTGAAATTTACCCAGTTTCACTTGCAGTCATCAATACTCAACGGGAGAGGGGAGGGGGGGGGGGACACTCAAGAGAACCCAAGAAAAAAGGTGTATCTGAGACAATTCAGCACAACACATTTGCTCTACAAGTGCAGGCATCAACCAATTTGAGCTGAACTACTGCTTGTACCTGCACAAGAATGGACAAGAAAGAGATGGGTATTACTCCCATATTATGCTGAAGATGAAAATGAGCCCTTCTAGCTAACACATGACCTAATTGTGCACTGTTTGCCTTATGTGTAACTTCATTTGCCTTATTCTGAATTCACCATATAATTCTTGCCAAGTGAACTCGACTAAAGTAGCAACTATACTACTATTACATTAAAAAAACATGCAATCATGTACTAACCAACTTCTGCTGTTGCTTCCTCTGTTCTCCAGACGACGTCTTTCAACCCTGTTGCGAGGCTCTTATAAAACTGGAGGGAGGCCACAAAAGAAAGGTGCAAATCAAAACCATAATATAACTTTATCCAGTAAAACAAATCTTGATATATATATATATATATATATACACACACACACACACACACACACACATATATACCATCAAACACATTAAATGGCAATAAACTGGGCTCGACATATCTAAAAGTTGAAATTTAAGTACAACTGTACAAACACATAAGCTATACTGCACCTTATGAAATTCCAAGGTATCTCCTCCAGCCTTGCGAAGCTCTACTATGTGAAGAAAAGGGGTAACTTCAAGAATCTGTGTTGCATTAAGATTGACCGAGTGTCTAAATATCATTAATATTGTTGTTCACTGCACAAATTACTTAGTATTGTATTACCTCTGTTGCAATGGATAAATGACCTTTGCGCCCAGTCTTCTCCCCATGAAGCTTTAGCTGGTAAAGAGACACCAGAGATTCATTAACAACTAAAACTGCAAACTGACTTTATCAAGAACAGTCCTGTTTTCTTATGTTATTTGTACTACTTAAATATAAGCTCTTCCCAAGCAAAAGTTGCAAACCACATAAAACTAGGCCAGGTAGATGACCATAACAAGCACTGAGCTTGAATAAGCAACCAATGATTGTGTTTGTTCATTTATTTATTTATTTTAATACACATTAATGAACAACTGCAGAGTTATACTCCGTATAAAATATTAATACTGCTATAAAAAGAATGAACTTGTTCACAAACGCGTTCATGAACAAAAACATACGTGAGAGAAATTAAATGCTGTGTTCGTGTATACCTCTCTATGAGAGCAAACTGGATTCTATGAGAGAAAAATCCATGAAGATGAATGCAAAATTTTACAGTACAGCCATAGAGTTGACGAACTATGCATAATAGTGAAGTCAATAAGGTAAGAGTGGCATTAGATGGCTACATATGATATGACAGTAAACTCTAAGACTACAATTGGTAGGTTAACACTTGACAGGTGGATTTGAGGGGTTCAAAAATCCAATAA